TGCCGGCGGGGGTCGGGCCGTTGGTCAGTGCCTTCATGTTCTCCGCGGGGCTCCTGGGCAACCTGCTGGCCCTGGGGCTGCTGCTGCGCTGCCGTCGGGGGCCCCGCGCTCGGCCCCCTTCCCTTTTCCACGTCCTGGTGCTGGCCCTGGTGCTCACCGACCTGCTGGGCACCTGCTCCGTCAGCCCTTTCGTCTTGGCTTCCTACCACCGCAACCTCACCTTGAGCGCCCTGACCCCCGGAGGACACATCTGCCTCTACTTCGGCTTCTCCATGAGCTTCTTCGGCCTGGCCACCATGCTCATCCTCTTCGCCATGGCCCTGGAGCGCTGCCTGGCCCTGGGCTGGCCTTACTTCTACGAGCGCTTCCTCAGCCCTCGCACGGGTCTGGTGGCCCTTCCCACCATCTACACCTTCTCCGCAGCCTTCTGCTCCTTGCCCCTGCTGGGCTTCGGGCAGTACGTCCAGTATTGCCCCGGCACCTGGTGCTTCATCCGGATGCGCCTGGACCGCCCGCCCCAGGGCTACGCGGAGGCGTCCGGGCCTCACGTCGCCTTCTCGCTGCTCTACGCCACCCTGCTCCTCTTCCTCATCCTCTCCGTGCTGCTCTGCAACCTCAGCGTCATCTCCAACCTGGCCCGCATGCACCGGCGCGGGCCCGGCCCGCCCGCGCTGGAGCAGCCCGGGGCAGGCGGCGGCTGCAGCCGCCTCATGTTCTCCATGGCCGAGGAGATCGACCATCTCCTCCTCCTCTCCATCATGACCATCACCTTCGTCATCTGCTCCCTGCCGTTCACGGTGAGTGTGGCCTCCTCTCTCCCCCTGGGTTGGGGGGTTCCCTCTCCCCGGCGCCCCCGCTTCGCGCTCTCCTCTCGCGCGGCTGCACCTCGCTCCCGCTGCCTGAACCTCCAGCTCCACGCTGAGCTCCTCCTGAAGCTCAGGGAGAACCCTGGGTCTGGCACAAACCCTGCGCCGTTTGCACGTGCCGTGGGAAAACTGGGAGAACCACCCCTGGTGTCCCAACTGCCAGCAGGAGGGTGGGAGGACGGGGTGGCAGGGGACACGATGGCAGGAGGACGCGGTGGCGGGAGCAGAGGTGCCTTCCCATCCTGCAGAGCCCCCCGGGACAGGCAGCATGGCTCAGGGAGGGTCTGGGGTAGGGTTACCCTGGACCACACTTTTTGGGAGCTGGACACTCGGGGTGGAGGTGTGAGGGGTGGCAGAGTGAGAAGTTGGGCATCCAGAGATGGGGATGAAGGAGATGGGCTGGAGGTGGTGGGTTTCGGTGCTGGGAGGGCAGAGATATCCCAGATCCCTGTGGGGAGGTGACAGGATGGTGCTGGAGATGTGGGCACGCAGCACCCACCTCACTGTTAGATGGAGGTCTCCACTTCCCCACAGCAACACTGGGGTGCAGGCAGGGAGATGGGTGGTTGCTGGGAACAGAGATCCTGCACATGGGCCACAGCAGCCTTCATCCCTAAAGACATTCCCACATCCCATGTCCCATCCATGCAGAAACATGGGGTCTGAGCACTGCAATGAGATGAGGAGAGGAGGAAATGAGAAAGCCAGTCCTCTGACTCTCCTCACCAAAGAGACCTTTTTCAGCCAGCCAAGCCATATCCCACCAGCAGCACCTCCCAGCCACTCGTGTCCCCTGCCCGTGTGCACAAGGCCACCACCACAGGAGTTCATTTTGTTCCCACTAGAACCAAGCCCCGAGGTCTGGAAAACAGCCAGGGCTAATTTTGTGCTCACAGAGTTAAATAGACTCTACCTTCCCTTCCTGCTCCCTTTCCCTTCCCAAGGGAAAAGAAAATGACCCCAGGCTGCAGCCAAGCCAGGGTATGAAGACAGAGATAAGACAGTGTCTGGGCTGAGCAACCTGGAAGTTTGACTCAACATCCCGAGACGCTTCAGCTTCCATCAAGGGGCCCACACGTGGTGGATGGGTCTCCTCACGTCCCAAAATAGCCAAGCTTTGGGTGCTGTGGGCATTAGGGTGTGGGACCTCTCAGTGAGGATCCATGGGCAAGGTCCTCCAGGTCTGCTGGGGACAGGTTGGGTGGGACAAGTGCCGCTGGTGGGGGTCCCGTGGGCCCTGGGGCAGCAGATGGAGCAGATGGAGTCCAGAAGCCCAGCAGCTTCTCCCGTCACCAGCTCCCATGTGGGGCTGTGCTCGAGCTGGGTTTGGCAGCCTCTCAAACCAAGCTGCTGGTGCCTCCGGGCTGTGACACTTTCTCTTCTGGCTGGGGCTGCCCACAGCAGCCACCCCTGTGAAGAGCAGCCTGGCCACATGAGCCCAGCAACCCACAACACCACAAAAGCCTCCCTAACAAAACCAAACCGACCAAAAAAGAAAAGCCCTTGGAAGTGCTGTGCCCTTGGCAGCTCTGGCTGCACTCCGGCCACCCGGAGCTGGGTGGTACCTGAGGGATCCCAGCCAGAGGGGGGGGATGCTCAAGCCTCCCATGACCCCAGCTCTTGTCCCCATCTGAGTGTCCCCTCTCCCCCGAAATGAGGGGGTGGCAATTCGACCCGTATGAGTAAGGAGTGCTGAGTCACCCTTCCAGGAAGCCCTGTCAGCTGCGATGAGTTGGCAGATTGCAGGAAGGTCCAGCACCCCCTTCCTCTCCATCATGAACGTTTATTGCTCCCAGGTGAGACGCCCCCCACACACTTCCTTAAGCAGCCACTACCTTAATAGTGTTAGGGCTAAAGGAAGCCTTGGTGTGTGCTGAGGGCTGGGCCATGGAATCATTTGGGTTGGAAGGGACCTTTCAGACCACCAAGCCCAACCATTCCCCCAGCCCTGCCAAGGCCACCCCTGCCCCATGTCCCTCAGCACCACATCTACAGGCTTTGAAATCCCTCCAGGGATGGGGACTCCCCCCCTGCCCTGGGCAGCCTGGGCCAGGGCCTGACAGCCCTTTGGGGAAGAAATTGTTCCCAAGATCCAACCTAAACCTCCCCTCATGCAACTTGAGGCCATTTCATTTTGTTCTGTCCCTTGAATATGTTCTGTGACAGCCCAAGAAGCTGCCCAGGGGCTGAATCCTGGAAGCCCAGACCCCACCATATTTCTCCCTGTCGTGTTTTACAGATCCGTGCTTACGTGAACAAGTTCAGCAAGGAAGAGGACAACCACGAGTGGGACCTCCTAGCCATGAGGTTTCTCTCCATTAATTCCATCGTTGACCCGTGGGTCTTTGCCATCCTGAGGCCCCCGGTGCTGCGGTTCATGCGCTCGGTTCTGTGCTGCCGGGTGACCCTCACCAGCCAGGACAGACAGACACCATTCCCTGCCAAGACAAAACTGGCAGCACGGCTGGACCCCTGTGGGCAGTAGATCCTGCCATTCCAGGAGGCATCTGCCAGGGGAAGCACAGCCCTGGCGGATGTTAGTGAAGCTCTGCCTTATGACCCATAAAGAGACAGGTGGGCCAGGTAGGGATGGCCTGGACAAATGTCTGGGAAGCCCTGTGTGGTCTCTCACAGGTCAAAACAATTACAGTGGGACCAGATCAGAAGGGCTGAGGAGGACCTGGGTGTTGCTGTTGAGGCTGCTCCCACCTGAGTGGGTCTGGGGGTGAAGCAGGGGTGGGGGGCTTTGCTATAACACTATGGCTGAGGGGAGGTCGAGGAGCAGAGCATCCTGCTGCTTCCCAGCGAGGTCCCCACTGTCATTCTGATTTGAAGGCAAGATGCAGGCAGGGCTTCTGGTCCTGGGGATGGGACTGGGTGGCCACCAGTGCTGCCAGCACCCGTCTCTGCCCCCAGGTCCTGAGGGATCAGGCAAGAGAGGAAGGGAACAGTCTATCCCCAGATATTCCCCTTTATTTGCCTAAAGGCAAAAGGTTTAGGTCCATGTGCATGTGTCTGTCTGTCTGTCCCCCACCCCCAGGGATTTTAGGCTCCAGTGGGTGCCAGCCCAGGGTGTCTGAGGGACACCAGGGCAGATAAAAAAGTCAAGTTGTGGCACTTCACTCGTGCAGTGATGGCAGCAGACCCATGAGGCCCCTTCTGAGCACCCGTTTTGCCCTTTTCTTTGCCCTGGGGTTTATGCAGGGGCCAACAAGTGGGGCAAAGAGCCTGGTCAAGGATCAAGGATCATGACCTCTATCTACACCCAGGGCGATGCTGGTGATGGGGTCTGGGGACCTGTTGCTCTTTGGGCTTCCAGGCTGGTCCCTGATGGGATAAGGAGCATCCAAACCTGTGGGCAAGCTGGCTTTGTCCTGAGGCTACCACTGCCATTGGGGGTCCCTGGGGGGGCTCATGGCTCCTGTTCCTGCAGCATCCAACAAACATGATGTCATTGTCCTCTTGCAAGTCTTGTTGGTTTGAGAGCTGCAGCTCTGCTCAGAGAGCCCAAAGGTGCCAAGACTTGGAGCTTTTCCTGCAGTTCATGACTTGAGGGTGATGTAAAAAAAAAAGAAAAAAAAAGAAAAAAAAAAAGTATTTTAAATGAATGTTATTATTTAAATAATAAATGTCTCTCAAAGGAGAGTGTGTGGGTTTGTGCAGCTCAGGGTGGATCTGGCTCCTGGGGGAATGGTGTCACCTGCCTGGAGCATCAGTGGGGTGAAGCCTAAGGGGAGGGGAGCAGAGGGCAGGAGAGGAAATTTCTGCTTCCCATTTCCTAACAAGTGAAACCCAACCGTGTTTCAGAGATGTGTGATAACATGTTTCTGCCTATCTCTGCCACCTGCCCCCAGCCTGAGCTACAGAAACTATCCCCATCCCTCAGAGCTCTTCCCTACAAACCACCCCAAAGGCAGGGAAGGGCAGGCCAAGCTCCTACCTGGGATCAAAATAAGAAAGGGAAAAAACCCCCACAACCCAAACAAACAACCAACAAAGAAAAAACACCCTAAAAAAAGTAAAAAAGCAGAATTTATGTCACTTCTGTCAGGCAGCCAATATCCACAGGAAGTTTACTGGCCTCCAAGATGTGTGTGTGGGCAGATGTCAGGCACGGGGCTGGTGTTGCTCAAGCCCTGCCGGCAGGTTTCTGGCACAGCCTTGCAGGGGGGGGGAAAGGAAGGATTTGTGGGGGGAAAAGGAGATATTCTGGAGCTTCCAACTCCATAGGGACAGTCACTCCCTCCCTGTTTGTGTCCCCGAGGCATTTTCCGGGGTCAGGGCTTGTGCACCTCGTGGTGTCTCAGGATGGGCTTGAAGAGGAGACAGAAAGTGTGGAAAGAGCTGTAGGTTCGTGTGCTTTATTTGTCCGGATGGTCATGACCTGGTTGCTCACGCTGGAATTTTGGGATCAGTTGCCTAATCCTCTTCTAAACCAAAGGGAAAAGCTGTCTGGAATGCAAAAGATGGAAAGAAAAGGGAAAAAAAAAAAAAAGACATCACATTGAGAATGGCTGGTTGGAAGGGGGGGGTCACATCCCGCCGAGGCGTGTGACAGCGGTGGGAAGGGAACCCAGAGCCATCCATGGGGACAACCAGAGGCAGGGTGCTCCCAGCGGCTCCCCCTCCCAAGCTC